GTTCATGTTGCTATCACAGGTGATTCCACATGAGACTGCAATCATAAGTTTACAAATCTGTCCCTAACCTCTTGAGTTCCTTAAGATGACTCTGTCAGCTGCAGTGCTAATACCTAGCACTTTGTAGCTACCCTCCCATGAATTTTTGACTCAATACATACAGGGGTAAATGCAAATTGGCACTTATGAACAGAATAAGGATTCATGGAATCCAGAATAGCAAGGGACACACCCAACCCCACTCCCAGGACCAACACACACATTATCCTCCAGATCAGAATCTAGGGACCTCATCATGAGGGCACAGCTGCCTCTTTTTGACTGACAAATGGACAAACTGATAATTGCAGGGGGAAGTGAAGATGCCTTTGATTTCAGGGTCACATTTCTCAGACTGACAGGTGTGGAAGGAAAAGCTATGAGTAAGCATGCTTGTTCTTAGAGCTCTGACTCCCCTTTCCTCCTGCCCCTCCAGTCACAAAACGTCCCTCAAAGACACTCTCCAGCTGGCACACCTATGCTGCTCACTTCTACAAGACTGAAGAAACAACAACAAAAAAAATGAAGATTCTAGAATAATAAGAATATCAGATAATATTTTTGTGATCTAAGTATATGAAAATATTTCTTAAACACAACATAAAAGTACTAATCATACATGAGAATATAGATAAATTGTACTTTAATGAAGTAAATTATGTCTAATGGTTAAAGTTACAAACTATCACTTATAAATTAAGCTCCTGGGGATGTAATATACAGTATGCTTCCTATAGTCATAATATTATGGTGTACATTGAAAAATTATGAAAGAGTAGATGTTAAAAGTTTTCCTAGAAGAAAAAAGAATTTGTAACTATGTGTGGTAGTGGATGTTGACTAGACTTATTCTGATGATCATTTCACAATACATAAAAATATATCGTACACACCTGAAGCTAACATAATATTACATATTGATTACATCTCAAGTAAAAATAATAGTAACAATTTTGAAATTATGTCCACAAAATACCAGCAAAAGAAGAAAAAAGCAAGCTACAGAGACATACACCAATATACCCCATAAGGGGTTGTGCACACAAACACAGACACACACACACGCACACACAAGCCATGATTCTTCCCCAAAATTACGAACTCAGTGTTTCAGCCAGTGACTCCCATCCCAGCACACAGGGCATGGGCTGCTCTCTCATTATTAAACACTCTGAACTGGACAAATCCTGCAACAAATTCCCCTGGAAAAAAGAGGCAGAGAAAGGGCCAAGTATTCAAAGGATGAACTGAAAACAGCTTCCTTTTGACCAGCCCAGGGATTCCCTAAATCAACAGGTTAGGTTACAGCCCAGTACTCCAAGCTTAGAGGATTTAACCCAGCCCTTCTGTGGACAGTGGCTCCTACATCCTGGCTCTGAACTTGGCTGGAAGGAAACCTCCTTCCATCTGGAGTAACAGGACCAAGGCTTGTGTTCACAACAGTCACTTGTCTGCCTGGGGCTCATAGGAGAAATTAGAGTCCACTGAGAGACCAGCAGGAAAACCTCCAGAGGTCCAGCAGGAATATGCACTGGTCAGAAGTGGCTGTTGGTTTCTGCTTGCACACTGCTCATCCAATTACCATGACATTGACATAAAATGACTCATTTCCCCACCAAAAACTTAAGTCTGTGGCTTCTTTAAAATAATAGCTATCCATCATTTGTTGTTCAGTCACTAAATCATGTCAGACTCTTTGCACCCCAATAGACTGCAGCACACCAAGCTTCCCTGTCCTTCTCCATCTCCCGGAGTTTGCTCAAGCTCATATCCATTGAGTAGATGATGCCATCCAACCATCTCATCCTCTGCCAGCCCCTTCTCTTCTTGCTCTCAATCTTTCCCCAAATCAGAGTCTTTCCCAGTGAGTCACCTCTTCCCATCAAATTGCCAAATTATTGGAACTTCAGCTCCAGCATCAGTCCTTCCAATGAATACTCAGGACTGATCTCCTTTAGGATTCATTGGTTTGATCTCCTTGCTGCCCAAGGGACTTTCAAGAGTCTTCTCCAACACCACAGTGCAAAAGCATCAATTCTTTGGCACTCAGCCTTCTTTGTGGTCCAGCTCTCACATCCATACATGACTACTGGAAAAACTAGAGCTTTGATTGTACAGATCTTTGTCTACAACGTGATATCTCTGCTTTTTAATACACTGTCTAGCTTTGTCATAGCTTTCCTTCTCCCAAGGAGCAAGCATCTTTTAATTTTGTGGCTGCAGTCACTGTCTTCAGTGATTTTGGAGCCCAAGAAAATAAAGTCTGTCACTGTTTCCACTTTTTCTCCTTCTATTTGCCATGAAGTGATAGGAGAGAATGCCATAATCTTAGTTTTTTTGAATGTTTAGCTTTAAGCCAGCTTTTTTACTCTCCTCTTTCACCTTCATCAAAAGGTTCTTTAGTTCCTCTTCACTTTATGCCATTAAAGTGGTATCATCTACATAACTGAGGCTGTTGATAATTCTCCAGGTAATCTCGATTTCACCTTGTTGATTCATCCAGCTTCGCATTTCACATGATGCACCCTACATAAACGTTAAATAAGCAGGGTGACAATATATAGCCTTAACCTACTCATTTCCCTATTTTGAACCAGGCTGTTGTTCCAGGTATGGTTCTAACTGTTGCTTCTTGATCTACATACAGGCTTCTCAGGAGACAGGTAAGGTGATCTGATGTTCCCATTTCTTTAAATATTTTCCACAGTTTGCTGTGATCCACACAAAGGCATTAGCATAGTTGATGAAGCAGAAGTAGATGGTTTTTTGGAATTTCATTACTTTTTTTATGATGCAGCGGCTGTTGGCAGTTTGATCTCTGGTTCCTCTGCCTTTTCTAAATCTAGTTTGTATATCTGCAAGTTCTCGGTTCAAGTACTATTGAAGCCTAGCTTGAAGGATTTTGAGCATTTCCTTGTTAGCATGTGAAATGAGCACAATTGTTCAGTAACTTGAATATTTTTGACATTGCCTTTCTTTGGGATTGGAATGAAAATTGACAATTTCCAGTCCCATGGCCAATGCTGAGTTATTCAAATTTGCTGGCATATTGAGTGCAGAACTTTAAAAGCACCGTCTTTTAAGATTTCAAATAGCTCAGCTGGAATTCTAGCACCTCCACTAGCTTTGTATATAGTAATGCTTCCTAAGATCTACTTAATTTCGTACTCTATGATTTCTTCCTCTAGGTGAGTGATGACATCATCAAGATTTTCCAGATCATTAAGACTTTTTAAATATAGTTTTTCTATGTATTCTTGCCACCCCTTCTTAATCTCATCTCCTTTTATTAGGCCCTTGTCATTTCCATCCTTTATTGTGCCCATATTTGCATGAAATGTTTCCTTGAAGAGACCTCTAATCTCTTCCATTCTATTGGTTTTCTCTATTTCTTTGCATTGTTCACTTAAGAAGGCTTTCTAATCTCTTCTTACTATTCTTTGTTCCTCTGCATTCAGTTGGGTATATCATTCCCTTTCTCCTTTGCCTTTTGCTTTTCTTTTTTTCTCAGCTATTTTCTTTCTTTTTTTTTTTTTTTCATTTTTTTTTCTTTTTTTTTCTTTTTTCATTTATATTTATTACTTGGAGGCTAATTACTTTACATCACTGCAGTGGTTTTTGTCATACATTGAAATAAATTAGCCATGGATTTACATGTATTCCCCATCCTGGTCCCCCCTCCCACCTCCCTCTCCACCCGATCCCTCTGGGTCTTCCCAGTGCACCAGGCCCGAGCACTTGTCTCATGCA